TAATTTGGTAATTTCAAAGGACTGAGAGGTAGTTCCAGAATTTAAAGCATATTTCGAAATGACTGTTGCAACATCATGTTGAACATCAATTGAATTGTTTCTTACAAATCTTTCTCATGTTTTCTTCTTCAAACTCCCCCTGCAGATATAAACTTCTGAGGTATTCCAGAGAACGCCAGTATATCGATGGGTTGAACAATTTAATATATACTCCTAAAATACTTGTCAGTAGATTGTATAAAAATATAACCGTTAATCTCATACCAGAACTTGCTCCTGTTAGAGACTATTGATGGAAGTGGAATGACAAGCTACTCTACCACAACGAACTTTTAACACTGGAAGCTACTAATAGACACTGTAAAGCAAAACAGAACCAAACCAACAAACAGCAGCTTAGAATTAGAGATTTTTCACCATTTGATGATGCATATTTGGGATGAGAAGCAAAGTGATTGTATGTACCATGCATTTTGTTCTGAAAGAAAAGCCAGCAGCTACCACTCAGATGTTTACAGCATGAGACTACTGTTCAAGCCTTCATTCTTCATGTTCTCTATTTTAACCGCTCAACTAAATAAACTGTGGAAAACAGACTTGTAGCTTCTCTGGAAGTAGGGATAGAGGCCTTTTCTTCCAGGAATCTTTTTATACTAAATCACCCCCCCTCGTATTTAAATGAATGCTTTTGTTTCTTTTTAAAATGTGTTTTGTAAATACGTGATGTAAATTAATGTGTGTACATTGCTTTTAAATTGCTCAATATTTTATGCTTCAGTATGTATTTGAGTGTTTTCTCATTTGAATTCTATAGGAATGTTTTTTATTAGCATGAAAGAACAAGTGTAAAATGTAAGTATGCTTAAAAAAAGGTTATACCTTATGTGAAATGAAGGAAATATTAATTGTTGGCCAGCTATGACTGTAAACTGTTATACTAGTTTTGAGCTCTAGGCCTCCTGCATATCTATATAGAAAAATCAATTTCGTATATGAACTTGCTAGAAAGAAAGCTTTTAATTTTATTTATTGCCAGCAAAATTGTATGATACCCTGCCTGCCATCTAAATCCTATTTATATGCATATTGCATGTGTATTACAGAAAAATCTTGCAGTTGTTGCGTATTATGATCTACAGGAACTCTTAACTTTCCAAGTGTGCCACTCGTGTCAATGTCAGGGATTTTAATGCCTAAAACAATGTGTCTGGGTGCGTACAGTATTTTGGTATTTTTTTTTTTTTTTAATCCTAGTAAACAGCACTTTTATTCCTCCAAAATCAGAAGAGCCAAAAATGTGTCTTCATTGGAAGAATATTGAAGTTAGGTTTTTAAGAAAATAGTAAAACATAGTTCTAATAGTTCTAATGCTTGTAGTGTGGAATTTTCAGAACCAAGGTGTTGGTCAAACTGTTCCGCTGGTGGTGATGATGGCATAAGCCGAACTGAAAGCAGGCCAATCCCAAGTGCTTTTTAAAATTCCACTCATAATATATTAATCAATATAGCTATTTAAGGGACTATTCTGGTAGAGTGCTGAGTGCTTCTATGATGCACTAAGTATCCTCAAGTCGATGACTTTCAATGAGATTGAGGTTATGCAGTCCCACTAAGGATTGGTCCTGTCTGTTTCTCTATTTTTGTGGTGTTGTATGTATGAGTAACTAGCCTCTTTCCTTGGCTTTTAATGAAAAACTTATCCTCTTATTTTTATTTGCTTGTAATGTTATGCTACCTAAAAGTATCGCACTGCTCAGCATTATTATCTTTTCCTAATATTTTTTTACATCCCTTGTTAATATGAAGGAAAAGGACCAGATCATTTATTTTCTATGTTAAAGCAAAGATATCGACCAAGATCCACTAAACTGTTTCGTTTATCACAGTTACTCAGCTCTTTAGGAACCAAAGACTGACTTCTGCTCCCATGAAGAATGGAAAGCAGTATATAATAAGGATTGTTTATCCACGGAGTGTTCTGTAAGAGTGTTGACAAAGAATACTAACTTTAACTCATTACTATGTGTTGGTTTCCTGAGTTGCTACCACAGTATGTGGTGCTTTGTATATTTGAGTTTGTTTGCCATAAACACCTATTTCTTTGACATCCCAGCAGCAAATTTTGCCCTTAGCCATTCTTCAGTAAAGTTATGAGCTTAGTTGTAGGTGTCCCAAATATTTAGTAGAAATGTAATGATTTAATTTAAGTAGTTTGAGAACAATTGTAAGGGATATTTTAAACAATATTGGAATTGCCTTACAATTTACCAGTTAATCTAATATGCTTTAGGAACGATGTAATGCAATGCAAATGACAAAAAGTGAGCATAAAGTGAACAAAACATTCTTCAAAAGCATGCTTAAGTGGTTTGATTACCTCCTAATATATTTTTCTATAATCGAATGTATAGAGTATTCTGAAGCATATGGGTAAAGGAGAGATAATTAATACACTGTATGGACAATTATATCCTCAAAATAAAATTAGTCTTATTTCATAACAAACGATTCTTTAAGAACTGTTGAATAAATTTTTAAATCCCTGATTTAATTTTGAAGTGATTTCTGGTTTTCAGTACAAGTTCACCTACAATTTAACACCTATAATTATGAAACATCCTTTGGTACTGTAGGTCTGTACTTTTTTCTGAAGCATGCTTTTGTGCCCATTTGTTAGGCATTCTATGAAATTAATGTGCAATTTTTAAAAATTCTAATGCATATATATGTATGTATACATACATGTATACATACTATATTACACATATGCTGTGGCTGAACTAATATAACTTTACAGCTGTAAGTGATTAATCATGTATGATCTTAGAAAAATGTGATTTAAACCAGTATGTGAATGGATTACGACATACAGCTGAGTTCTTAAAAAGTTTACATTATGGTGCCCCAAAGTGATAGATGTTAAATTACGAATTGTTAACCAACACTCATTCTCTAAATACCTTTTATCACTTTGTTGGGAAGTTTTAAAAATTGCCATCTTAAATTACATCAAAACAGTGTTTGTATACTACCTGCTCGAACTCAGTACTAGTCTGTAGTGAATTTTAACATAGACAGTGCCTTCAAACAAAATAAATGCGATGCAGAACTAAGAGTTGTGCACGTTCCTTTTGATATTTTCATGATTCTTGTAAAATGTAGAGAGAAGCCAGTCACATTAGCTTTTGCATTGCTGACAGGCAAATTGAGGACGTCTTCTCTTCAAGGAATGAACATGGAGGGACAAGAGAGAGTATTTTAGAAGATTCTGAAGGTCTTGCAAATTGACAAGTAAAAACGTTACAGAAATGTTAGCAGAGGAATCTAGTTGATATGCTAAGATACTCTTAAGCCCATTTGCTGTATTTCAAATTTGAGTAGGAGAATATAAAATATAAAATCCATTTTGCAATAGGCAGTATATAGAAAAGCAAGTGCAAAATGTTCTTTTTCTTGGATCTTGCCAGTCTATTTTTCTACCATTATGTTTACTAATGACTATGTTGTAGTGGGTTACTAATGAGCCAGTTATTTAAAAATATTAGAAGGATCCATTGCATATCAGCAAGAGCAAGTGTACTTAAGATAATTTTATTTGTAGAGGTATGTGAGATAGGCTTAATGAAACATGCACTGAAACAAATGCTGGGAATTTCCTGTGTACTATCATAGTTTTGGTTTTTTGTTGTTCATTAAAATGTTTGTACTTTTTTATCATTGTCTTTTTTGAAATATAATGTTCTAAAGATTGTGTTGGTTTGTTTATTCTGAGGTTCTGTGAAGAACATATCTTCTTTGTGTTTTGTTTATAGACAAAAGTGCTCATTTTCCTAGTGCTCAGTTCCTCGAAGTAACAACAAAAGGAAGGGACACCTGGCCCTTACATCAGGTTAGACTATGATGGGATCAAGCCTTAGGCTTACAAATCGTTTTCCCTTTTTTGGTATTTAAATGCTTTTCAGCTTTTGGTTTTATTAAGCTAAATGATTCAACTTTTTGTGTACTTTTCCAAGATAGGGTTGCTATTCTGTTGTATCTCCTAATGGCTCTTCTCTATACTTATTGCTGTTTAGGAGTAATCTTCCTTATATATGGATTACAAGAATAGGAAATAGAAGGATTCTGTCATATTTCTCCTGGCATTAAATAGGGAGCTGGTTTTCTCAGGAATCATCAATTATCCTTTTTACTTTTCTTTGTATCTTCCAGCTATTACAAAAGCTTCCAATGGTTAGGCATACAAGTAATTTTTCTGAGTACTTCAACTGAGGACAAAGGTGTTTGCAGAATTATAGGAAAATACATGGATAAACTTCAAGTGTGTTTGGATATACTTTTCTGTAACGCTGGATATGGACTCTTCTTGAAAGTGTCACCAGTTATAATATATTGGAAAGCAGGAAAGAAAGGATTTGAAGTATGTGTAGCATCCTTAGCATGCTTAAATGCTATCCTACCTTGCTGGCACTTTTAAGCTACTTTTGCTTCTATATTTTGGGAGGTGAGTTTATCTGATGATTATGTGGAGCCCTTGGTAGTAGTCCCATGTGACTTCATCTATTTTGGAGTTCAGTAATAAAGTATAGATGATGGTAGGTGGTGGATTGCGTTTCCTCTGTGCTTTCTTTTCATGACACACCTTTCAGATGTGTTTAATTTTCTTTGCAAGAATGAATGTAGTTTATTAACTTCATGAAAGACTTTGGTTTATTCTCAGAATCCCAATAATGGAGTTTCAATGTGTTTTTTCTAAGATTAATATGTTTTTTCAGACCCTAAACTTTTATTCAGAAGAGCAATACTTAACGGAATACAGAAATACAGAACACCTTTATTCAAAAGAGCATTGGAAAACAAAGTCAATACACATTCTTCCTAAGGTTAACAAAGTGAACTTTTACTATGAAATCTAAAGCTGTTGATTAGTCAGAAACTTAAGTTCTTACTGTTTATGGAAATTTTAATTTACACATCTAAATTTTCATGCTTAATGTCAGCTTCTATTCCACTGGCTCGCTAACTACTGCTGTAGTTGAGTAAGAAAAGGGATTGAGGAGAACAGCAATGGAGTAATGTCGATAACCAGCATCATTAGCTGTGAACACCACCTGGAAAAAAGGAAAAACAAATACAAGACAAATGAGAAGTGATCTCTGGATATGAGCCTAGATTGAACCATTTTGATGATTTTATCTAACCTCCCACAAAACTTTGGAAATATCTTCTCTTGTGGTCATTTGATCACTGTGATCTGTGACTGCCTGTCACACACAGTTTTCCACTGGTTAAATATCCTTTTGTTAAAAGCATACATGTCACTTTTTATTTAAAATTTTATCAACTATATTACGCAAATTGAGGTTTCCTTGTTTATACTTGTAAATGTCAATGAAATTTTTTTCCTTATTGAAGATCTACTTTGAACCTCATTGATTATTAAAAAAAAAAAAAGCATTCTTTCAAGTATTTTAATATTTTCGTTGATCTTATGAAGTCTCGAACTTTGAGCAACAGAGTTAAATGTAGTGCTACAGTAACTGTCATCAGGCCAAAATAAGAAGCAATGAGTTTCTTTAATCCTACTTAACATATCTAGTAGATATGCATTAGTCCTTTGGCCACAATGTGAAATGACCTTATGTATAAATGATTCACAACAGCCCTTTTAACACCTCTCCCATCAGCTCATGTCCCGTCCTTTGATTTCTTCCTCTACATAGTAGATTATTTTGTTTTGTGAGACGATGGATGTCAACTTTTAAAATAGACACAGTTTAGTAACATTCTGTGATGCATAGCTTGTGCTTTTTTCAACATTAATTAAAAAGGTTCATATGAAACAATTAGTTAACTGAGCAAAACATCCCTACTGAGGCTTATTTTTAGGAAATAAGGCTCTTGCACTCTGGATTAAATTCATTTCTAGTCTGGAATATAAATGTAAACATTATCTTGACGTATAATTACTTGCAAGTTGTAAATCTTTCATCTTACTTCTTTTATTTCAGTTATCACAGAAGGCAAGACTATCCAGCGTTACCCTTCATTATTGTCTAGAATAAGAATGTCATCTCTTACCCATTTCAGGGAGGCAGAAACAAAATTTAACCCAGGTGTTTGCCACCTTTTCTCCAAGGAGCTGAGGAATGGCTGTTTGAGCAGCAGTTGCAAACTGTACAGCTGTGCTCACTGATCTGTCACAGTCCTACAAACAACTCGTACAGGACTGCTGCTGCTACTGAAAGATCATGCGAAAGGGCTGATGTTGTGGAGGGGCAGGGGGCAGCTGGCCTCAGTTGGTACCTTGTTTGGACCACCTTCATCTAAGCAATTTAACTGTCCCATGCTAACTAAAAAGGCTTGTTACACTTCTTGTTGTAAACTGAGGATCCAAGCATGCAGAACACAGTCCATACTTCCATTATCTTTAAGAATCTAAATTATAAACCTTGTCTGCAGCCGTACAAACACTGGATCCTGAAGGCAGAGAAGTCCTTTTCTCAGGAGACTTAACAGAGTACTCCACCTGTTATTCTCCCTTAGGTGTCTAGAAATAGTCACAGAAAGAATCGCAGGCTTAAGTAGAGGCAGAAGGATGGAAAACCTCTTCCTAAGTAATGCATCTAAGAACTTATTGAGAGTTACGGGGAAGTTGTAACTGTATTCTCTCTTGAGCGTATTGTTGCAAAGCTTTGAGACTGGATTTAAAGTGCTAATGCAAAAATATTTTAAAGTGAAAAGTTCAACATGTGCAATTAGTAATTGAAGCTAGACACGTACAGTATGTTTATTCTTTGCAGCTGAAGTACAGGAGAAAATGAATACTCACATCAGCATGGTGGTGGAAGGGATTCAAGCCCAGTCTTTTCCAATAAGAGGCTGTGTCAAGCTCAATCTGTATATCCCTGTTACAAATTGGTCTTTAGTTGTGAGCTCATGGAGCTCTCCGTTGTCATTGGTTTGTCTGTGTGATGACAGAACAATGCACTTTTATATAGTTTAAAAGCCTGAGAAAAATGCAGTTCTTAACAGTTGAACTTGAGCGATGTTGTGTAGCTTAAGTAATATGATGAATACTTCTATTGATCTGGAATGGCTTATGTCCATCTGTATTATGGATGCTTCAGAGCTTATCTTGGCATTTGCTACTTCCACGATCACCACAGCAGATGGCTGCCTGCCATGTCACTACTCTGCGTGGTTTGGGGGTGAGCCAAAAACTGGTGTTATTGTTCATAGGCTCTTGTCAGAGTCTTGGAGTTAGTTAAATGAACCCACTCAGAGGGAATACTTCACCACTGCTGTAAGCCATGTGGAAGCTCTATGATGCACTTACTGTGCAAGTAGGGTCAGCTCTCTTGATTTTTCCATAGTTTTCTTTCTTATTTAAATGTATTGGGTTGTTTTATCAGTATAAATATTTTTTTTAAAGTTGGCTGTTTGAAATTTGAGATCTGCTATTTGAAATGACCGTAGGTCAGCCAACAGTGTAGCCTTATGGAATTTTGTGTTGTCTGTATCGATCAGTTGGTTTTCCATCCTCAACAAACAGATAGTTTTGTTTGATTTGAAGATGCTATCAGTGCTATCCAAGGTCGTAGTACCGGCTTGAAACTCTACACCTTTGAACACCAACCAATACAGGGCTCCAGATCGATATGGAATGCTGTCTCTCAAACATGTCTCTTAGTTGAAACCCATTTCTGTGAAATTAATTATGTAATACTAGGTTTTTGATTGGGTAGGTTATCCGTGAATAACAGTGCTGCTAGTGCTTGGTTTTAGTTGTCACACACCACTGTTTTCAGTTCTAGCTGGCAAATCTTTTTCTGAACACATTTTATTCAAGTTGCACACAGAGAAAAGTAAAGAATTGAATGTTTTTTATGTCATTGTCCAATGCATTACTTAGGATTTGTGCTTTAATATCGCTTATAACTACGAAGTCACAGAACACTCTTTGTATCTTACAAGATGCTCTGTAGTCAGTTAACAGATTTTTTTAATCTGTTCAAATGTCTCTTATTTTCTCCTTTGTCATAGATTGATCGTTATTAAATAACTTCATTCTCTAATAAGCTTTCTCAGCTAAACCCAAGCATATCTTTTACTGAGAACAGTTATTTCAGAATCTCTTGCTAACGTTCAATTTTTTACAAATTAACAAGACTGGAGAGATTGATTTAGTATTATCATGACTTTTGCATACCTCATCTTAAGGTTCCTTTTTTTCAAATGCTAAGTGTGTTTTTACAGCTTCAGTCAACATCCAGCTGTTCAGCCAAGTATCTTTATGTAAAGCCTCTAAGCTCAGATTTGAAGATAAGTATGAACACCATCTTAATGGAAAATTTCACGCATTTCCAGTGACAGAATATGTGTGAAGCTATGTTCTCGCTTGAGGGGTAGGAAGCAATTAAAGTAGGACAACGTGAATAGATTGTTCTTCTCGACCTTGTACAAATATGTGTGGCCTTCACTGTAGCTACATTTTTCAAGCATGCATGTGTGAGCACTGTTTCTTCTGCTAGCCCGCTCCTCCACAACCCCAAAGACCACTTACATACAGTTTCTCATGGACTTTCTACAAATGCATTTGGGTCTGGGATCCTACTATTGAAATTCCTGCACTTTGTCAGCTTTAGCCCTTAGGAGCCCTATCTCACTTTTTTAGGTAGAATAGACTGTTAACAGACTTGGAAGGGTCTCAGGTGAGACTTTGCAACTGTCTTGAGGAGGTAAGCATGGAAGTGGGATGTTGCTTGTTGAATAAAGAACGTTCATTTTGTGTACCGCTAAGAATTTTTTCAATTTTGTATACTTTGAGTAAAAACTGCTTTTGAGATTTTATAATGTTAATACATACTGAAATTGAGGGCAATTTCAAAAAAAAGTCATCTACATTTGAAATTTTACAATTATACTTTTTTTTAAAAGGCATGGCAATGTTTAAATATCTAGCAGATTCTTTTTCTTATTTTAGATATAGTTGCTTCTCTGTGGAGGAGAATGTTGAGAAAGCTTTATCCCCAATTTTTTCCTTTTGGTTGATTCCTTTTTCTTGAAGCAAAGAAGGCTGTCAAATATGATGTGGTATGTTTTCAGAACGATTCCATGTTTTCTTTTTAATGCCATGGTGGTGTATGAAATGAAAATTCATTTAAAAAGAAGGAAAATAACCAATAAAGGTAGAATTCTCAACCAGCGTTTGACTTTCAAACAATAAAAGAGTCTGCCTGATTCTTCTGGTAACAATGCAGCAGTTCATTGCTGGGTACTAAAAAGTAATATAATCCTGTGTGATGAAATTGAAGAGGAGCGATGATTGAATTAAAGGATAGTTTAAAATATTTTCTTGTGCTCACAATAATTATAAAGCATTATAAAACCATTTGGTAGTTGAAACTGTAATACAGTTAAAAGACTCTGCAGCAAATTCATTCAATAGTATGTTATCTTTCCTCTGAGTAAAAAAAGACATCGTATGTTAGAGAATGTGAAACTGTTTTTTCAACTATTTAACCTCTTGCCATTGCCTTTCTCGTCTTTCATTCATTATTTTGATATGACTTACTTTGAATTTAACAGTTCCCAAGATCCATCTGCAGCTTCTTTATATAACTTAACTGGAATGTTTGCAGCTGGACTTCCTCATACTGAATCCAGAATTTTTATAGAAAGAGGATGTTTGGAGTCAGCAGAGTCCTTCAGATAGGAGAGAAAATTTTTATGTTGTAAGAAAGGTAAGCAATGGTGCATAATAAAGCAGTAAGGAATATTATTCTGTGGAGCTATAGAGTATACCATATTTTCCTCAACAAGATCACTGTGTACTGCAGAAATGTCTCCTGAAGCTTTCTAGGGGCTGGATATGGTGGAACCAGGGAGGCAGATGTCAGGAGCTGTCAGGAGGAGCATAGCCATGTGCACTGGAGAGGCACTGTGGCTGTGTGTGAGAACACGTTTCCGTTTTCTCTTTGGCATGGCTTAGCTACACATCATCTCCAGCATGAAGTTCTAACTAAATTGTGACCTCAACAGGAAATAATTAAATCATCAAAGGTAGTAGGAATATGTAAGAAGCTGGCAACTTTTCCTCTGTGTTTTGGAGTGGCAATTCGAGCACAGCTTTCTAGTTTTGAGAGCCTCTGATGTCTTGTTGCCATAGAGTTATCTTAATTCTGCTGTAAACTTGATAAGCACCACATATGGACTGTCTCCTAACACCATATTGGATCAGATTCGTCAGCCCCTGGCAGCTATGCAGGGATAGGAAAGAAAAATCTTCCTTCAAAGATGGAATGGCTGTAGTTTCACTCCCAACATGTTCATCACAAGCAGTGGTTATGCCCTCATGTTTTACCTATTCAAAGATAGAGTTGAATCAGGGCTTTGACCTTCCGTTACCTAATTCTGTAGATGAAAAGTGAGAAAATAGAGCTTTGTGGAAGGTGCTAGTCAGGGTTAATCTCAGAATAGAAATCATTGATCTCCATTTAGTCATTACGAAATTAATTGTGACCGAGATGGTAAAAACTAAAAGCCCGCTCTTACATCTCCTTTTACAACCTGGGACATACTGAACATCCTGTCAGCCTTCAACCCTGCCCTGTATCAGACCAATGTATCACCATGTATCTGTACTACCTGTATGCCCTGACTCCTCAGGCTCCCCTTCTGGAATGCAGAGGCTCCTTGCTAGTGTTTCTTTTGAGGCATTGGCAAGAGGGACTCTAGTGCCACCACCTATTTTCCTGGCTTTTACATCCTGGGAGCTCAATGAAAGTCCGCTTCCTCACAAAGGTTGGTCAGGTATTCATGTTCCTAAAGAGCAGAGCTTGAGAGGAAGAATGAATAGGGAGAGGGAGAGAGACAAGGCTGTTCTAGGAGGAATTCAGGCTGAAGCGTCTGTGTCTCTAGCTTGCTTTGCTGCAATAAATGAGCGCTCTGGAAGTGGGATCATGGTTTTGGCTCTGTTCTTTGCTTGCATCAGTGAGTGTCAAGATCTCTTCTTGCTTGCATGGGATAGAGCTGTAGTGGGTACAGCAGTAAGGGAGAGGACTACAGAAGGCAGTTCCCCAGCATGGATCTCACGACAGGAAACGAAATCCCTCATGACAAGAGCTTGTTCATTGTGTTGTAAGGCTTTTCAACAAGCCCTAGACTTTTGTGTAGTGAATGTGATACTTTTTTCCTTTCTTGTCTTACATTGTTTTTCATGGAGTCACTGAGTCTAATGACAAGTGCTGCTTCTCTAACCATAAAGCCTTCTCACAAATCACTACAGAAGGAGGAAGAAGGACCAGAAAAAGCAGTAGGAAAGACCTACAGTCAATACATACCATAAAATCAAAGTAATTGCAATAAAATTGAATATTCAATTTTTCATTTACAGTAACCGAAGTATTAAAAAAAAAAGATGGAACTACATCAGTATGAAGGACCTCAATCTTGAGACACTTACCAGTGGTGCAGCTTCGGAGAAAAATGCCAGGCCAGCTAAGAAAACAAGAAATACGGAATGAAAAGCCATTTTGCCTACCACTAAGTCTCAGTGTCAGCAAGTAGAAACTGTGGGATCTGTGATTTTTATATGAAGACCTCTAAACTGAGGCTACTTATCAGAAAACCCATATGACTTTCAACATGCCAATTCATACTATTTACTTGGTAAACAATGAGAAAATAAGTAACCCATACAAACGTGAACCTTGTCTGCAAAAATAAGTATTTTCTCTCATTACCTGTGGAAATATTGTGAATATTGCCTAGCTCAGCTGCAGTGATTTATTCTCTTGGAAACATTGTCTGTTCTATTTTTCTCTTTTTGTTGAGGAATAGTCCTGTATAGATCTCATATAGTTGAGAGAAATACAAATTTCTTGTCAACTCGACAATTTCAGTTTCAGTGAGAAGTTCTCTGTAGTTATGGCTTATTTATCCATTAAGAGATTTGTCTCTCTGGTGGCCTTCTCCCCACCACTGAGAAAAGATAAATAAACAATGTGTGGGTTATCTAGTAATCTTATGCGTTCCCCTGGAGGAAAAATACGTTACCTTTGGTTTCCAGCATGATAACCAAATATCTACATGCCCATTTCTGAAGAACAGCTAAACTGTCCCATCACTTGTCCTTTAGATTGAATACAAGTTCAGGACTTTCCTTGTGCAGGAAAGTCCTTTCAGGTCCCACCAGAAGCATCTGCTTCATTTTAGGGAAATGTTACTTCTTGAAATTAAACTTTGTCTTTCTGGTCTTTGGTTAGACACATATCCGTACAATATCTTACTAGTTTTATCCTGTCATCAGATGGATGACTATGTACAAAGTAGTTTTTTGATTGGTTGCTTTTTGTTTGGTTTGGAGTGTTGGTTTGTTGGGGTTTTTTTGTGTTTTTTTTGTTTTTTTTTTTTTAAATTACTACACCTTTATGAACATATTCATGTCTTATTTTGAGGGCTGGACATAGCACACTGAAAATCAAATCTACTGGTTTTCAAGCTCCAGGAATAGCAGGATCCCGCAAAATCCGCATGCTTAAAGATGGGTGCTGTTTTGAAACTATTTGCGCTGCTTACAAGAGTTGTGTAATTATGGTAGTGTCCAGAAATCAGGGAAAAAAGTAACCAACTAGTGAAACGTTAAAGGCAAGCTTTTGTAACTTGTGAATTCGCTTGGTATGCAGTCAGCCCAGCAGGCTCTGGGTTCAGAGATAAACTCCAAGGTCAGGGGCAGATGAGTGCTCATGGTTTCTGAATGGCTCGGTTTCAGTAACTGTCTCTGTAGTTTCTGTAATCCTGTTAGAAAAACAATTCCTCTGCTTCAGGATATTTTAAATACAATAGGCCATCAGTCTACAGAAATCACTGTTAAAACCCTCTAAGTCTTCGCTCTGTTTATCAACAACCTCATTTGAATCACAGTCACTCTACAGCTCACTATTTCCGGTTTCTAAAAATATGAAGAGAATATTTTTTTTAATGATGGCTAGAGATTTCACTTCTTAGAGATTTAGTTGGAATGCACCTGAATAAGGTAGCCAGCTGGGTTAAACATCAACGTTGTTAAAAATGGTGCTAATTGAAATTGCTTCACAGCTTCCTAGACTGATTGAGCAGCAAACTTTCCTCTTGAAACAGCAGTGTTGAGGTTTACCTGAAGTTTTAAGTAAAGGTACACAGATTTTTAACTCTTTCTGCTCCCTGAATATATATATTCCAACAGTGTTTCCACATTGTTTGTTCTGCGGCTAGCTATTCAGAATGTCTTTTGTTTACTCTGTGACCTAGTTGATAGTGAGACCACCTCTTCTGTGTGCAAATTATAAGTAGCATGGATGACTTTCTTATTTTGAGTACATGTGTTTGATCAGATTTTTTAAGGCAGCACAACTCTATAACTTTCTTATATTGAGCCAATGCCTTTGGTGAGACTTTAAGGTAATGGGGGAAGATAACAGAACCAAATCAAGCGCTGTGCCATGCATGTTTTCCAGATGTCCTTTGCACTTGAACACAAATCATGACACCTTAGAACACAATAAAACTTCACTGATAGAATCTAAACTGTTTTAAAGAAGTAGCATTTTATTGACTTGTCTGAAGTTTGCCAGATTACAAAATGGAAAAAAACCCTAATGTAGCAAAAAGTTATGCATTAGCAGTAGGAAAAACCTTCCTTCTAAAAGCCTATGATAGTTCTAGCAGAGAAAGGTATCTGTGTAACAACAGAATGTGTTTATTCGTGGGCATCAGTGACAACAGCAGTGGTTGAATAAGAGTAAGGACTGACGAGAGCCGCAATGGTATAGTGGCGGTGACCAGAATCAGTAGTACTGAACACCACCTGGAAAAGAGAAAACTTGTGATCACGATGAAAACATACATTCAAAACTACTTTATTAAGAATTAGGAAGTGTGCTCCATTTCCTCTGCAGCCTATTTTACTGGTTCTCTTCATTTAATGATTTTACCCTTCTGAAGGGTAACACTCCCTATTACTTTGTGGTGTTAGCTGAAAACTGAGAAATTTGTGAGATTTGGACCCAGGTTCACAAAGAGCCTCAGCTGTGGTGAAGCTACATGGAGATATCTATCACCTGAGTGAGGCACGCATGTTTCTGATTTGTGATGTGGAATGGGAGGATGAGGGGGAGGTATCTCAGGCAACCAACAAGACAGACAAGAGAGGTGAAATCCCATCTAGTGAACTTAAATACGTCTGTGTGAGGTATCCAAGCAAGGTAGGCAGTTGGAGCCCAAAGCAGCTTTCTGTACTTCAGTGCCTCTCTCCTGTTTTTAACACAGCTGGTGATGGGTCAGTTCTTGCATGAAGGTCTGAGTGGCTAGACTTGCCAAAACAGGGAGAGATTCATGTCCTAAGATATATCAAATATATATCCTAATATCTTAGGATATATCCTAAGATATATCAAATTTGCTGTTCTCTATATCAGTCCCTTGGGACACCCGCTTCCCAGGAAAGTGTTGTCACCTAGGTTAAGCCTCCTCTTTCTTTCACTCTCTTTAGCCTAATATATGATCTCTTTTCTGAACCATGACATACTTTCTACAACAGGACTACGGACTTCCCTCCTACATCCTAGTTCTTCCAAAGTCTAAGCTGCTGGGACATGAGGACTGTAGGCTTCAGTTACCTTGTACACAGACAGTCATTGAACTCTGCCCACTTCCCAGGCTAATTTGTTGACCCGTAGGCTATTGCGTCAAAGAAAAGCATCCTCAACAACCTAGCCGGAACAGTCTCAACCAGGTGCTTTTAAGCACCTTTTGAGATAAAGCCCTTCTGTAGACCCCAGCAACTTTCAGACATCCAAATGGTTAGGGAATATTTTTTTAGGATTGTTTATTTGGCCTAAATGACCCAAGCTGCACCTCAGACTTTTATGGACCTCAGAGATTTTAGTCTTCCACAGACCGTCATAGAGTTGTGATTTAAAATGTTCTAGAATGCAACCTGTAGCTGTTCCAGACCACTTTAATTTGGAGAAACTTAATGACAGGTTAAGCTTGAGGAATTTAAACAAAATTTTTGAAAGTGGCAAGCAAATTTGATAGAATAGAACTCAATAAATACATGTTGGGCTGAGCGCAAAGGAAGGCACAAGACGATTATATTGCTGGCTTGCTTACGAGATTTAGGTATTGATGAAACAGCCTACTTTTCCATTCTCACTATGGTTACTTCTTTACATTTTATGCTTTTTTTTTCACCCTATTGCATATTTAAGTACTGAGCATCATTTTTAAAAAAAATGCACATCAGAAAGAATTGTCTTTTCCTGTAATTAAAGGTCATACTAGAATTCAGGGATTTTCAGGTGAATTATATGGGGGAAATCCCTCCGAATAAAGAATATGTTATTTCCTATAATATAAGGATTTCCAAATCCCTATATTTCTTCAGCAACAATAAAAGCAGTCTTTTTTTTTTCTTTCTTTCTTGGTTGGTTGGTTGGTTGTGGTTGTTGTTCGTTTTTTTTTTTTTATTTATTTTGTTTTGCTTGTTTATATTTTAAACACTATGGACTTTTGAATAATGTAGCTCTTTTTGAACAAAAATCCCCACTGATCTGAATGGGCACAAGTCCACTTTGGAAGAGCTGTGCCAGTATTTGCAGGGAAGTTGGCTACGTCCTTTGGCTTAGCCTGCTACATACTGCCTTTATTTACCCAATCTCATGTGGCAGTGAACCATTTCATTGAATGATGCTGCTTCTTCGGTATTAAAGGATTGTATTTGTTCTTTCCAGCTGACACCATTACACAGTATATAGGTTATTAGGTATATTTGCAAATACTTACATCAGCGTAGTCATGGAATGGGGAAAGGCCAAGTCCCTTCCAGTAAGAGCTGGTGTCAAACTCAACCCTGTATACTCCTTCTACAAACTGCTCTTCTGTTGTGAGCTCATGGATCTCTCCAAACTTTGTGGTTTTCCTGTAATAGTAAAATGTCTACATAAATATTTTATACTGTCATTTAGATGCTAAACAGAAACAGTCAGTGTGGAATATTAAATAGCAGAGATGCTGCACAGGCAAATTCTACATTGAATGATTTCTAATCGTCTGAAATAATTCCTTCCTATGTAATGTATGTTTCCATATTGCTGAGCCTGTCCTTGCCACCAACTCATATACGTCACAAATCAAATCTGGCTGGCTTTTATTGGTCATTTCGATTACTGCGGTAGGGATTATAGTTAAGGCCCCTCTTTTAATATCATGTTTAACTTGTACCAAGTGCTCTCCGGAACCAAATGTTAGTGGCTTAGGAAAAGGATTGTCATGATGAAAGGCAAGATGCTAAATCTCAAATTATAATTAAAGAGAGAAGAGAGATTTTAGCGGAAAAATATTTTATTCTCTGATTATTACACTGAGGCTATAAGTTTTATATCTATACACTGATGCATTTTTATATGACCTTGAGTGGCAGTATCTTGGAACAGCAATTTGGCATCACAAAATTATATTAATTTGAATTGCACTAGATGATCCTTTGAGGCCCCTTCCAATCCCTAACGTTCTATGATTCTATGAATTACAATGCCTTGGTCAAGGAGCAGGGGCCTCTTCCACTGGGTGTCATGTCAATGAGCAATAGGAATTCCGAGCTCAGAGAGATTATGTACTCAGCTCATAACAAAAAAAAGTTGTTGGTAAATGAAGTCCAGCAGGAGGAAAGAAATATAGCTGGCATTGCATCTTATTTGTTTGAAAAGAAGCAAGCTTTGATAGCTTTATTTACATACTTAGCTCCTAAACCACATTTATCTCTTTTCCCTCATTTTATTTCTGATTTTTTTTAACATTTTTTTCCTGTTGAAAATATTTATATGATATTTATAGCACTTCATAGCTACATGATGTAGTTGAAGGAAAAATGAAAAAAGCCTTGACTTGAAGAACTAGTGGAACTTGCCTGTCTTACAACAAGGAGTGGTTGTCTAGGCACAAACCAGAAAATCTTGAGGAGGAAGAGAGGGAGAGAAGAAAGCTGTGACATGCTGCTTATCAGAGATGGAATCGGTTGTGCTGTCACAGCTTTTCTTTCTTAGCTGCTGCCTCCTCCTTCATCTTAATTATCATCTTTGGTTGATGGTGGTGAATGAAAAAACTCTGAATGACAGAGCATTTGCCTAAATTAAGAAGTAACAGAATTGAAAATCCCATGCTAATTCTCAGGTTTTCTTATATTTCAAGTTTATTAGTTTGAAGACTGACAAATGTCTCCCTGGTCCCATACAAGTGAAATCAAGTATATCCAGGATAGACCAAATCTGCAGAGAACCCAAGCCCTATTTGAAACATGGCTCACAGGCAATATGTGAAGTGTACACATCTGTTTTCTTTTGATTTAATTAGTACTTCCTGGCTTAAGCTATACTGTCTTAATAAAAGACAATAAGTAAAAGGAGGAAGAATTCATTGGTGAGTGTCCTTGAAACTGTGAAACAGAATTGCTGAGATCCTGTGGAAGTGTTCAGAGTGCAAGTTAGCAATTCACATACATCTGTTTATAAGTCAAATAGTCTAGACACAAATCAATTAAAAGGAAAAATGGTGTCTGCCTCAAAATCTTTGTTCAGGTAAACAAATAGTTTGAGAAAAGTGTGGATGTAGCTTGAATTATGCTTTCCCTGATTTATGTTGACCCAGAGTTGCAGATGTTAACCACTCAGAACAGTTGGGAAACTGGAAACAAGTTCACTTGAAGACTCTCCTCCACTACGAAGAGTTAATGGCACTTTCTTAATTTTAATAATTAAGTGGTAGCCATTCAATTCAAGTGGTCTCACAAGCAAACCCTTCACCATTACTGCTGCATTGACAGCCAACAGGACAGTGTGTGATTCAGAGCCTGGATGGGATTAGGACGAGGCAGAGAATTCCCTGCATTCGGCAAAATGCTACAAGTGATTCCCTTTGAACAGCACTTGTATTTCTGTCTGTGTAGGGGAATAAGTATAGTACGGTTACTTATTCTTAATGGGATGTGGACTGCTAGCATCTACTGCAAGATGGACAATTAAGTTAAAAAAGCTGTGCTTTTCCAGCAAAAAATTGGCAAACTACTGATTGAGTTACTACAGCTCCAGCCTAGACTGCAGTCTTGATCCTCTTTTTCACTGTCCGGACCTTAGTTGTATATTGTGACAAGGTTAAATCTACACTGTCGGTGCAGTGACATTTATGAACTCTTGGGACACATACTGCACTGAGATAAACTCTGCCCTCAGAGGCAGACTGCTGGGGAAGTATCTCAAGATCATGAATTATTATTTTGAAGGGTTTTTTAAAAAAAAAGGAGAGTGGAGGGAACCACTTCAAATATGTTGCGGTTTTTCTTTTTTTTTTTTTTTCCTTTTATGATTTACAACCTAGGTCACATGAGAACTATGTTTGGTAAATGCAACTCTTGAACTATATGGTAGGACCTGGACTTCCAAAAACATGTGAGGAGTGAGAAAGTCAGAGCTAGTGGTGGGAGGAGCTAATATAGACCCAAATCACATGCTTCCCAGGTCTCTGTGCCTTAAAGCCTTCCTCAGAGTGCGTCTCAGCTTGAGTTATTCTCTTCTTGCATATTTTTGGCTAGACTAATTTTGAAATAAGCCTTTTATTAAAGTCAGCTGTTGCTATGCTAACTTCCTGCCTGTTAAATACTATTACTCCAATAGTTGCTAGGTGCATTTGCTGAATTCCTTAAAATGTGTTAGCTAAATAAAAACAAACAAAAAGGTACAAAAATAACTTTTATAGACATTTGTACAAAATGTAACTTTTCCCTATGTATCTGCTAGGGAAATATCAAAATATTTCCTTAAACTTAAAAATATTATTAACCTGACCAGAGTAGTTACAGATGGTGTTCCTTGATTGCATTCACATTTTCATCTTGTTTAACACAGAGAAACTCTTGTTTTCCCACATGAAAAGAATTGCCACCACACGTGATAAACCAGTTCAAGGAAGTGTCATCAGCTAAAGTCAATGGTATGACTGAAAGCAGCCTTGGTTAACATGCAAGACAAGGGAAAGGTCAAATCTTTACCTGCAATAAAAATTGTGGTTTAATTGTACTCCACTGCCTTCCCCCAGCAAAATGTGTCTCACTTGCCTAAGGTTAATCTTAATTTATATTTAAGAAATGATTTGATTTTCTCAGGTGTGTACTGACCTAAAGTGTCAACAGAGCTTGGCTAAGAAGAGCTATGGGATTTGTCTCCTTGGGCTTGTTGAGAGCAGCATTGTAAACAGAACAAGAAAACACTGTTAAGCTCCAAAAGCATAAGCCCCCTTGAAAATGTGTTATTTTTTTATAGGGTTTCTCTGTTCATTAAAGTATATAAATCCATTCTGAGTCATTTGTTCCTAGATTAACACTCATTCTTTGGGAGTGGAGGTGTTTGTTTCTCTTCCAGTCTCCTAATCTGTTGTGTTCTTTTTCAGTGGGGAAAAATATTTTTTGTTTAGAGTTTTATAAAAAGAAACCCTCAGATGGAAAGAAAGGTATCTCTCTCCTTGTAGTCTTCTCCTCAATTTCTTCCTGTAGCTTTTATGTAAATTGTGCTATAAATATCCTAGCAAAAGACAGTTAGATGCTCTGGTGGCTCCTGTCCTTGCTTGTGCTTGTCATTTTGTGCCTGAATCACCTGCTGTTACTAGAGATTTCTCTTGACTTATTTAAAAATCTGATTCGATGACTTGTTACAATGAAACTTAAATTCCTGAATACCTCACCTATTCAAATTTTAGTAAACTGTATTCCTTTGTTACCCCTACTTTTCCCACAGACTGAAAATAATAGTAGTATTGCCTGCCCCTCAGTGATGTTCTGAGGATGCTTTGTAAGTATTAAGCTGTTATTCTAGCAAAAGCCATGCAAATCTATATAAATGACTACAAAGATATGCTGAGATTGTGCTTCTGTGTTGTGTTACAATGGGACTCTTTTAAACTTTCTGGTCAAGGAGTTTCTTCTAACCAGCACATTTGTTACACAGGAGAAGGCAGCTAAAGCACTTATTTGTATATGACTGCTGCAATTAAAGCTCTATATCCATCGCACATGAAGATACTAGGCTACTCTGGATAACCAACAAAATTCTGGTAAATAGGCTTTATTTTTTTTTCTTTTTATATAAAGGAAAGATAGTACTGAAGCTAGGAGAAAAATTAATAATTAAACCTATTCCCTTACAAAGAGAAGATGAGCATCTCAACATATTTTTGCAATTAGCAGGTATTTCAGTCATGAGTAAGTTCCATTTGAATCTGATGGATTTTAGACCAGAATTCATGTGCTTTTAACAGTGATAGTGTGACACATGTTAGAAAACATATCGCACTTTTGATCAAAGCTCCATTCCCTGTATTTCTCAACAGTTTGCCTGAGGCATCTTGAAAATAGCTCCATATGACCACATAACTTACCCAGAAGCAAACTCCTCCCAGTGTCCATCTGCAGCCTTTCTAAAGACTTTAACGGCTACGTCAACTGCAGGCCTTCCTCTGACTGCATCCAGCACTTTCACCATGAGAGGGCATTTGGAATCAAGAGAGCCATGGGAGTCCTTGGGGAAAGCAGGAGAGGTTTTATAGGAGCTGTTCACCAGCCCTGCAAAAACCTTCTTTCAAAGAAATAATAGATTCATATTGCAGAATTAACTTTAACTTAAAAGCAAGTTCTTTGCCAAATGGTATTCAAAGCTAGTTCGCAAACATCTGTTTCTTAAATCAGAGTATCTTAGAGCTTTATACTGATATCTTTATTATACACACACATACAAACAGATTGCTTGATAAATATTTTGAGTTGCGTATGACCCTGGGAAAATGTTATAAAGTATACTTTTTTATGAGATCACAAATAAGAAAATTGTTAATTATTATAAGCACAGGCAGAATATGTTAGCCTAGGAAACCAACAGAGAAATAGCTATGACATCCCCAGGGCTGAAAGAATACTTGTTTCTTAAGCTTCATTACACTCTAAGGAATCCTTAGTCATACTTCAAAAATATTTTTTTAGTGCTTTAGAGAAGCACTTGTTTGGTGCAGAAGGTAAAGCTAGCTCTATATTGAAGATTTGGGATGTGAGTCATGAACTGACAGAAACAGAAAGAAAGAAAAGGTTGCACTTCCTACATCTCTGACCTTTCATAATATCCTGAAATGGGTAAATGGCAAAAAAAGAAGTTTTAAGAATTCTGAAGCAGCCACTTAACAATGGTAATAAAATAACATACCAGCAAAGCCTAATGGTTACAGAATTTCATGGATGAGGAGGATGCTAGTCATCTAGAAAATCTAGATTATCATTCTTGTAATGATTGAGTTTGAATAAATAGAGACTCACCGTTGGTCCAGCTTCAGAGAAAAATACCAGTCCGGCTAAGAAAACAATGAGCACAGAGTGAAAGGCCATTCTGCTTGCTGTTAGTGAGCCTTGGTGCTAGGAGCTGAGAGGATTTGGGATTTTTATACCCAATCCTACAACAAAACAGGCTGCTTATTGGGTGCCCATATGACTCCAAATCTGCTGATTCTGATTATTTGCTTAGTAAACAGTCCAATCCTAGAGTCAGTCCATGAATAGCACTGCCATTGCAGTCAATGGAAGGATCAGTAGAGCAAACAGAATAAGTAATGGACACAAACATGACCCTTGCCTGGGGAGATTAGACTCTTAGAAAGCCCTCCACAGAATAATTGAAATGACCTTTGTTTGCCCAGAAGTCCAACTAGTTCTAAGAGATCTTCTTTACTTTGCCTTCGGGTTGTGCACAGTAATGCTCCAATGCTTTCTCTGCACCTGCTCCCTGTTTTTTCTCAATGTATTCAATGCTTTATGAAGAAGAGTTACCACATATAGGTACAGACTCAGTATGGGTGATGGAGTTTGTTCATAGAATCATAGAATGGTTAGGGTTGGAAGGGACCTCAAAGATCATCTAGTTCCAACCCTCCTGCCATGGGCAGGGAAACCCTCCACTACACCAGGTTGCCCAAAGCCTCATCCAACCTGGCCTTGAACACTTCCAGGGATGGGGCAAATTGTCTGGCTCAAGCAGTGCTAATGGTCCATGCTGGGAGACAGGTTCCCAAGCAGTTCCCTTTCTTGTTTAAAAGGAGCAATGTTTCTTTTTGAAACCTAATCAAGATAGGATCTGACAACATGCTGCCTCTCACCAAAAGTTCCTAAGAATTCATCTTGCCTCATCTTTAGGTAGATATTGAGGTTTCCTCTTAGTCACTGGGAAGAGACCTGGAGACATCTGTCCTCTTAGGAAGATAAAGGTCTAAGACAATTGAAATAAGTCCTCTCTTGCTCCATGTACCTCACAAAGAGCCAAGGCATCTAGCATAGACTGGTAGCTTAAGATAACATCTAGCTAATGTTCTTGTTGCCAAACTCCTGTTACCCTGGAAAAGGTACTGTTATGCTCTGAAATATACATTTAGGTAAGAGGTTTTTTGGGTGTGAACTAAGCTCCAACCTAAGCTGGAAGGGAGAAGATGTCAGTTGGGGGAGTAGGGATGGTGTAGCTGGGTTTCTCCAGCTGCATCACATAAAAATTGCCTGTACTGCACCCTGTGCTAGTTGAGAGGGAAAGAAACAGCCCTCTTTGGCATTTGCTTTTCCCCATGTCCTAAACAACCCTGAGTCTACACTTCTGTTCTTGGGAGCTGTCGCTCTTAGTTTTTACTAATTTTCCAGTATTCTAACAAAAAGCAATTTGCCTCTTAACTTGAATATGGTTATGTTGAAGGTCTTGGAGAGAAGTCATGGACAGTATTCTGCAGCCACTTTCATGCCTTCAGGCTGCTTTATGCAGTTGTTCTCTTTAGACAAAGCTGGTTTTTGAAAAAAATCTTTATTACAGTGACCTCCTGAACTGAGATCGAAGTGCCCTTTGTACTTACAGTCACGCAGGCAGTACGTAGGTAGCATTCTGCGCTTGTTTTGCATGCATGTAAAGGTCAATGCAAGGTGGCCAGCAGTAACAAATCATGCTGCAATCTAGTGTTTGTGGGATGTGTTCAGATCTTGGAATCATAGATACTGCTCTTAGATCTGTGCATCCACAGTTTACTTCATTATTTTGCCCTCATCGTTTGTAAAGGTTTCTCTGACACAGTAAAGTTTTGTATGTCAGGAAGAGACAGTATCTGTATTCTAGTGCAAGTAGTCTGTCCTTTCATTTGCTATCAGCTGTTCTGCAAGGAAATAATGCCAAGGAGCTAATGATATTGGCACCTGCCCGCACCTGAAATTGCTCTCCTATCGGAGAATAACTTCAAAAATTAATTATTTTTCCTAAGTTTTCCTGCAAGGCAACAGTTTCTGAAAAATCAAGTCTGCAGGGATAGTACATTTCTGCTGTCCATATTATCTATTTTACTTTCCTCTTTTATAACATTGACCTTTTGGCAGCTGTTTTTTGTGAATAAGGAGCATGAAAAATTCTAACCTCGAATATGATTTTTTTTCTTGTCTTTCATATGCTGTTTTTTTTAACTCTCCCCATCTCATACACAGCCTAGATAGGGATCGTTTAACTATTAGCAGGCGCACAATTTTGAAGGGAAATAAAACTTTCTGGGTTTGTGGATCTTCATTCATACATTTTGCAGATAACAAGATTATTGCTGTAAGTTCTAAGATATGAGTGGACTTACTGAGAAGGTTGAAAAAAAAGCCTTTAGTATTTCCCTGATCTGAAAGGTCATGGAACATCTAGAATTTATATAGAATTCTATTAAAATCCTGTGTAAACCTAACTTAAAATTACTATAGCCTAGTGAAACCAATGCTAGGTAGATCTTCCTCCTTCCGTTGTCATCCTCATCCTCTTAGCACAATATACTAATGCTTTCTGTAAAATGTATGAGAGGGCTCAGAAATTTGGAATAGCTGAGAATAATGATGAGCAGAATATTTGCTGAAATAAAAAGGCATTTTTTGGAGTCAGAATAAAAGGTGAAACCAAAGAGCAGGAAAAGGCTCCTACATGGCTGGCTTTTAAATGGAGGACAGAGTGATTCTAGAGCCACCATCATCTTGATTGTGTTTGCTTGGTAGTGGTAGAGGTTTTACATTTGCATCCTACCGAATTCTCAAATTTTACAGAATTTACCAGTCTCAGTGAATTGAATTTTACTTCCTTGGAGGAGAATCCAGACAAGTGGTTGTAGGAGGCAAAAGGAGAAAGGAGATGGGTAACTGCTGGACATCCAGCAAGTGCTGATTGCGTGTTATCTGTCTATTGTTGTTAAACCTATTCTGTGCAATGGGAGTTTGAAGCTTATAAACTGAATAACTTGTCCTAGATAAAAAAAAAAAAAAGAACATGAAATGATAAGGGGCTGAGCACTGCAGGGCTGGGAAACTCTAGGCCTTCTGAAGCATTAGGGAATCTGCCATGAAACAGGGCAGCTTCCAGACACTGCTAGCAGGAAAGTGGTAGAACACAGAGCCTTATCACAGAGGGACAGCATAAAAGCCCTAATGTAAGAAAAGGGTAAATGGAGTCACTGAAAATCCCTCTGAAAATTATATTTAGGAATCCTGGTGTGGAAGAAACAGTAGGGTTATATAGCTAATACAGAGATAAGGGAAGGCTATTTGGAGTCTGGGGGACACACAACCCGGAAGAAGGGATGATCACCCAGCATACAGGATGATTATGGGGCCAGAGAAGAGAAAGGCAGAGTCTCTGGAGTGCACAGTAACCTCAGCCTCATGGAAGCCAAGAAGTATGAGACCTCCAGTTATGGAAAAATTTAGATAATCCTCAAATATGTAAATGCCTTAAGGCTTATCTGAATTCCAAATCAGTTGAAGTTCATCTCTGAAGAATTAGAATTAATGCCTATTTTTAGTGAAAGCATGTTCCCTGCTTGGAAGCATTACAGTGTTCAGGTCAGGAACAAACATGTCCTGCTAATACTCTTGTTTATGTCAGGGATTTTTCCAACTGCACTACGGTGTTTGTCTCACTCTTCCATATAGTCTCACATGCTTATGCTTGTTTTACATAGATAAGCTCCTTACTCTCTGCTTCTGTTTGATTGTATTTAGAAAGCCAACTGCTTCTGCATGACAAAATACTCAGACAGGCTGGAACATCTGACTTCGACCATATAAACCTGTAAGTTACTCCTCTGACATTGGAGTGAAAGGGGCTGGTAGATGGTAAGCCGTTCAGTGATCTGGATAGATTTCCCTAGCACTTCCCCAGGAATTAATGAATTCCTGAGCTCTTAAAAAAATCCTTCGTATAGTATAGAGTGCTGAATGTGGCACCTTCTTTCACTTTTCTGGAGTGACATTCCCTTAGGACCTATACGAAAAGACCTGAGATTTATCTCTCAAAGAAGTTTACCTGAATTTTCTCAACTAGAACTGTTTTACTTTAGGTGTCTGCTGGCTGAGTTGCTGTGGCAGAGCTCTGGCACATCAGCAAGTGCTCAGTACAGTACCTGCTGAAGTCAGTGAGAGATTTTCTGTTGATTCCACTATTTGCTTATTATGTAACATTTTCCCTCTCTGCAAAGCCAGTGATAATACTTTTCTGGTTAAAAAATGTGCTCAGGGAGGTTCATGTTTGAGCTAGAATTTCTATTTGTAAATAATTGTATTCGAAAATAGTGGTGTTTCAGGTGTGTGTGGTGTGTGCGTGTTTGTCAGCCTGCTGCCCATTTTGATTTTCTATGAGCAATGTGCCTGTATTTAGAGTTTTAATGATCATTCTCAAATTTCTTTGTTCATAGGACTAATATTGGCTATTTTAATGGGAATTAAGGAAACATTACTGATCTTAAACAGAAAAACAAGAAAATAATTCTTATCTGATATACTACATCAAATCCCGTTAGTTAGAAAATGAGGAAGTGTAAACTGTTAACAAACAATTTAGAGGACAGATGGATTGAGTTGGGCTTCAGGTACAAAATCATAGGTTTCCATCATTTTGAGGTTATGTCCAAGGAGCATCTTGGGATATAGCCTAAAGTCAAAAAAAAAAAGAGACATCTAATGGTGATTGTTGCTTTGGGGCATTTAAAATGTATGAATTCACTTGGCATCTGGTCATCTCAGCAGACTTTCGCTCTGAAGTGTTTAAACCCCAAGGTCACTGGGAACGGATCACTACAAGGTACTAATTCATTAGCTCCTGCTATAGTCCCTGTGATCCCTCTAAAACAAACTTCTGTTCTTCAAATTTTATATATATTCATGTCTTTATATATACTCATGTCTACATACTAATCCATCTATCTAGGCAAGTGACTGAAAAAAAAAAAAAACCCTCAAATCAATTTATAAACAAAGCTAACTGAATAACCCTTTTGCCAGCCCTGATGCCTTAACCTTTCCTATTGCTGGAAGGTGCTTGCAACTTGGCATGAGATCAATGCTTTTAAAGGTCAATGTCTTTGTTTGCAAAATGATTAGATGGTTCAGGTTATAAATTTATGGGTTTATTCTCTACTTACAATAGGAGGTACACAGTAAATCTACAACAT